AGAAATGTGTTCTGATTAGCAGCAATTGGGTTCGGTAGTATCCACGGTTTCAGGAATCCACTGGGGGTCTTGGAATGTATTCCCCACAGGTAAGGGAGTACTATCATACTATAAACTGACAGGCTCAAACAATAGAATTTAATTACAGTTCTGGAGTCGGAAAGTTTGCCATCAAAGTAAGAGCAGGGTAGGTTCCTTCTGAAGGCCATGACGGAATGCCTCTCTCCTAGCTTCTGGTGGTTTACCGGCAACCTTTGTTGTTCCTTGGCAGCAGCAGCAGCCAAGACAACAAAGCTCTGCCTTTATTGTCACAAGGCATTCTTTATGTGTGCACGTCTGTGTCCACTTTCTTCTTTTTTACAAAGACACCAGTCATATTGGATTAGGGGCCCACCCTACTCCAGAATGACCTCATCCTAACAGAACTAACTATATCTGCAATGACCCTATTTCCAGTTAGTACACATTCTGAGGTCTTGAGGGTCAGGACCTCAACATATGAATTTAGGGGGGCAGTATATAAAATTCAACCCATAACAACAACTCATGATAGTTAATGGATCAGAAAGAACTCTATCAACATTTATTAATTGGTTTGCTTCTATTGCAGACAGTGCTTAGCATTCAAGTAAGAAGCTGTAGGTATTTATCTTTGGTAGTCACAGGCAGATTTGGGACAGCTAAAAGTATTGAGCATTTTTCTAATGTCAGTAGACATGGATAGAAGCATTTATTATTTTTATAGTCTGGAGTTTAGAAAATATCATATCTTGCCCACTGGGTTGAAGCCTCAAGTCACGTTTCAATTCTGGGGCCTGCAGCAGAAAATTTTTAAAAAGCAGCTGATGTTGAAAGATAAAAATTACCATCTTTCTTTTCCTATTATACCTTCACAGCTTCTTGAATTTTTCCTTTTAGGGGGAATACTGTGGATGGTTTAGGAATTCCGTCAAATATTTAGGATATCAGCATCTTAATAAAACATCCTATATTGAATCTGTACTCGCCCATTAAAAACAAAACTACAGGTACTTCATTAGAAATAGAATTTGAAAATTCCATCCTCTACACCTTCTGCTGAGATACTGGCTTCCATAAATTTTTGAGCGAAGTTGAACAATTAATTTCATCACCTACAATTTATTCTTCATTTTAACTGATGAAATGAAATCATTAAGAAATAAATTAAGGAGGATGCAGCAGAGAAGAAAAGAAGAAAGGGGGATCACCAAATAAGAAGAAAAAAGAAAATACTTCCTGCTGAATTTTTAGAAAGCCTCTCTTAAATAAGTATTGAAGTTCCGTAAATAATTTTGTCTGTGGAGGATAAAAGGAGCAGATTGACCAATTACTTTCAAAGTGTTTGATCATATCCATGTTTTCATTAATTATTCAAGCTTTAGGAGTCATCAAAGAATCCTAATGCATAACTCAAAATGAGGACCAAGAGCCAAGATATTGGCAAATGCTTTTCATGTTTCAGATTCCTTCCATTTATGAGCATATGTGCTTTTAAATGTTGGGCAGATTTAAATCCTTGTTCATAGGAAGGAGGTTGACAAGTTAGCCTTTGGGACAAAAGGGAAGAAGTACATAAATCACAGATGTTAAAAAGCCAGGTTGGCAAGTAGAGCTAGAGGTACAGGATGAAATGACACCCTTGGGATAATGTGACCCAATCTCAGGTTATATTCCATTGTGCCCACACTCTGGGCCTGGCTGCACATTTGCTACTCCAGGCCATGCAGTGATTGACCATACAGAATAGTCCTACCTGAGTCTTTAAACAAAAACTAGCTACAAGAACAATTTAAGAATCATAAGAAGAACAAAATTAGGTGATTAGATGGAAGACAGAGGAAGGCTGATATAGTAAGATCCTATATTAATGCAAAAGTAAGTTCCAAAGAAACCTTTCTATTACCTCTGAAATATATTAGCTTTATCCCAATTGTAAGTTACCAGACCATTTTATGGGCACTATAATGTCACTAGAAGTACATGTCTAACAAAATAATAGAGTACATTACCAATTCTGCTGTGATGGCCAATGCAGAGAAACTATTAGACCCATTTGTCAATGTATCTCAGTGTCTAACAGTTTTAAAGAATGAGTAGTTGTGGAAACTATTCAACATTTTAAAGACATCATTTCTCCTCAGACACATTCCATCGAATCATCAATTTTGAGTACATCTATTTGTCCACCCATGCTTTTCCTGTAAAGCTGATTGAAAAGAGAACAACAAAAACACATTTTGAATGTCAGAATAGAAAATACTAACGATGTATGAATTTGAAAGGTCTATTTATTGTTTCAAACAAGATTGATATTTTGTGATATTTTGCGTATTGTGCAAGTTGGCACAGAACATTAGAGTAGAATATATACAAAATAGATCTTCAAAATACGAAAATCTGCTTTGCAATGAAATAAATTTGAGGTTGGAGATAGCAGTATTCATGCCATTATAAAAAAATTCTTTACAGTGGATACTTTTAGCAGACTTTTGCAAAGCATAGCTTTAGGAAGAGTTTATAGTATAATATATTAATGCAAAGGGGTTGGTTTTACCCACTCTCCCTTCAGCCTTCATTCACTGATCTTGTATTACCAATCCTTTATCTTAAACACCACTACAGTTCACCTTCCAGCTCTTTTAACAATTATTAAATGGGTGAGGAAATAAGAGAAAAAACTGAAGAGGAAAGAAGAGAGTAAGATTTATTCCTAAAGAAAGAACTCCTTGTTTGCTCTGCCCTTGAAGAAGTCAGTTCCATCAATCATTAGATAGGGGGCTGGACGAGGTAATCCATAAAGCTCCTCCCACATCTACTATGTTATGATGCTAAGTGAGAACACTAAAAGAAAGACTTATTTAAAAAAAAAGCAAATGGCAGTGTGAAACTAACTTTCTAAATTTTCTTCAAATATCCGAAAACAACTTTTAAAATTAAGCGTCAACATTATAATATCCTGGATTGTATATGTCTGTATCTCAGAAATGCTGTTTACTAGTTTTGAGACATTGAGTAGATCTCTTCACCCTTATAAACCAAAATTTCCCACTGTGTAAAATAAGAATATTGATGTTCCTGTGTAGGTGGTTGAAGATTAAATGAGGTAGTACAGGTGAAGGTTTAGTTTCAACAAAGTGTTCAGTAATATTAGCATTTATTATTATCTAGATGGGTAGTGTCAGTTATTAATTTATTCAATTGCTAATTCAAAAATGTGGATGTATATTTTAGGTCAAGCATTGCACTAAATGCTAGGGACCCAGGAGTTACAGAACGATCTCTTCTCCTCCCTGTTAGATACCATTTAATTATTTAAGAGTGAACTGATACATGTTTGTGGAAGAGCATATATTTAGAATGTATTCACTTTTGTTTTAAAACTTTATATGACTGAGATGAAAATGGAACAAGAATCAAGTGAGTAAAACACAGCTTTCATATTTCTGCTACTAAGCACAATTCAACTCTGGTTCTTTTTTGATTGGTAGCAGAAAATTCAATCTTGCAATTTGAGGTAACTTGACTACTTCCTGTCTCAAAGTGATCCTCTTTGGGTTCAATTCAGGATATTCCACCTCTGTAATCACCCCATGGGTTTTTCTTGCCTGCTGCACAGACAAAACCAGTTCACTGAAACTGTAGTATTGCAATAAAGAAAGAGTTAAATAATGTGACGCTAGCCGCGTGGAAGAATCACTCAAATAGGCCAAAAGGCTCAGAGGTTAGAGGCTTTCAAGTAATATTGTGGGCAGAAGAGTACAGAATAGGTGCTGTTTATTGGTTGAAGAACAGTCATAGGAATGTGAAAAATGGTCCGCATGCACTGAGTCTGCCTCTTGATGGGGCCAGAGGACCGTCTGTGTCTGGGTGGGGTCAGTTGCTGGGATGCAAAAGTTTGAAAAACATTTGGAAAGAACAATCTTGGGTTCTATAGTGGCGATGTTAACTATAGGAGCAATTGGTGAAGTCACAAATCTTGTAACTTCTGGCTACATGACTCTTGAGCAGTAAGGGATTATAGAAACCATGCCTACATTTTAGCAGAATTAATGCCCCTCCTACCAAATCTTGTAGCCTTTCATTAGTCTTACAAAGGCAATTTCAGCCCACAGACGAGGAAGGGATCAGTTTTAGGAAGGGACTGTTATCATCTTTGCTTCAAAGTTAAACTAAACTCCTCCTCACATGTTTAGCTTGCTCCATGCCCAGGAATGAGTGAAGCCAGCAGCATGTCAGGCTAGAAGCAAAATGGAGTCAGCCATGCTCGATTTCTCCCACTGTCAAAAGCTCTGCAAAGGAGGGTCCACAGCTAAGGCTGCCCACTCTGCAGCCTTGTGCAGCTGTGAACTCCCATGACATCAAGCTGGAGTAACTCTTCAGGCTTGCTGATTGTAAACTCTTAACTCCCTTTCGTTCTAAACAAACAAACAAAAACACAGGTGGGGTGGGCAGTATCTTAGGCCTTTTCTTTACCTAGAACTACCTCGCTGATATTTCCACCTACTGCAGCTTAGTTACATGAAGGCAATCAGCAGACTATTTTCTTGTCAAGTTTCAGAGTTGACTTGGTGTGAGTCCCCAATACAAGAGTGACTCAATATTTTGGGAAGTTTCTATTACCCAATTCCCCAGAGTTTCAACCCCAGAGTAGGTTCAGGGAGGAGGGCAACCCATACTGCCTACACTCCTTTTGTTTTACTTTTCCTGTCTCTCCTCTGCTGTGCTGTAGAAAAACTGCTCATATGACATCACTTATCTTTTCCACCTTCACTGTGGCCTTGAACCGTTTGCTCCAAGTCCTGTAAGATTTGATTCTTGATATTTAAATCTAGGCTTTTGGAATTTTTCATCTCTCTGGCACCTGGCACTTGCAATTCAAAACCATGGTTTTAAAGACTATTGTCTGTACTGTTGACTTACAAAGGTCAAATTAATTGTTCCAAGGCCAAAAATGTTTGTTCTCTCTGAATCAGCCTTGCCTTGAGGCATAGAAAAAGTCCTCTTTGCTGCTTAAATATTGTAGAAAACCATAACTAAAATAAGTTGAAAAATTAATCACTTTAATATTAAAATACCTCACTACAGAACAAATTTACAGTGAAATAAAATGATAGCAGTTTTGTATATGTATCTATTTGCCTATCTCCATAACCTAAAATAAAAACAAAACTATAAATGTTTTAATTATTATGTAATATAACTTAAATAATGTTCCTTCATTAAAACAAGATTAATGCTAAAGTGTTTTTGCTATAATAGACTTGCACATACTATCATTGAATTTGTTTTTCAAAATCTTTCCACACAGCCATGCTGGCTTGGTCCAATCTTAGCTATAAACATGATTGATTTATATATAGAATGCCTGTGTACCAGGCACTAGGGATAAGTAACTGTGAAAGAATGATGGACATGTCCCTAATCTCCTACATGCTGAGAATTCCTCTTTGACCAAATGAACATCATTTTTCAAGCAGTAAGAACTTCTTAAAGCTTGTCTTTCCAGGAAGTTCACAGCCAAACCTGGAATCTTCACCTGTTCTGTGCAGTGGTAGGGTTAATTGGTTAATTGTTTTTTGTGTTTTTTTTTTTGTATTTCTTTCTCCATCACTAGAGAGAACTCTCTGTTACATGCCCGAAAGAGTTATTTCAGGATACACAATTTTAAGGCAGAGTTAAAAACTTAAAGGCCGACTTAAAGACAGAGTTTAAAGACTTTTTTTTAAAGGCAGAGATTAAAAGGCTCTTTTAAGTGAATAGTATACAGAAAAATATGTATTTTTTAAAGAAAACATACTTCCAACCTAACAGCTGCCATTTCCCCAAGGTATAGTTAGTTGTAGAAGGATAGGAAATGATTCTATCAGCTTAAACAGCACAAAGTTTGTGTCGTTCCTTTCCTCTTGCCTTCTTGCTTTAAAATGGATGCAGCATAAATACATCTCACAGTTCTTGGCTGATAAAATTATCTCATAGTCTGACTCTAATATTACTAAACTCAAGTGAATCATATATCAAAATCTGAAGAGATGAATGATGTTTTACAGCTACACGGGTGGACTTTCAAAGCTCCTCTATGGCTGGATTTTTGAAACAATGACATTTATTTTGAGGTCTCATTATTCTTTATTTTCTACATCAAAATGAATTATTTTAATAAATGAAAAACATTAAATCTACAGAAACCAGTCTACAGAAAAAGAAAATGTGTATTTAACATCATTTAAGGTGGCCCTTACCTCAACTCCTTACTTGGAAAACTGGTATTTGAATGTCACGAACCAAGCCTTTCTCCTGTCTTCCCAGCATTGATGATTTTGAAGAAGTTTGGATTTTATTATAAGTAATATTGGTTTAGCTAAGTAAGTATATCTTCTCAGTTCCGAGTATCCTATAAAGCCTGCTCTCCAGTCCCTCCTGCTTAGGACTCCCTGTGGTTGGGCGAAACAGGGCTCTTTCCCTTGCTCCAGATGAGAGACCAAAGCTGGTTTGGAAGTAGGTGGCACTTCAAAGGCCACAGCCTCATAGTTCCCCATCATCACGTCCCTGTACAAGGCCCTCTGGTCAGGTACCATGATGGCCCATTCCTTCTTAGTGAAGTACACAGCCATGTCCTCAAAAGCCTGGGGCCTGGCTGTTGAGGACACAGTTGTCATCGTCTGACCTCTTTTATTCCTTTCTTGGGTAAAGGTAAAAGTCTCAGGTGCGTGGGCTCCTGACGGCCTCTGCAGCTTTTCAGCAAGCAGAGATGGTGGACGCTACTTCTCTTTATTCTTATAGTACATGATCTAATGGGAAGAAAGTATGAATTAAAGGTGATCATGAGATTAAAATAAATTAATTCTTTCAGGACACCAGTTTTATAACGTAGACACTAAATTTTCACAAATGCAAACTGTGAAATATACATTGTCCACAATTCTACAGACCGTTGTTTCTCAAACTTCTACAATATATGCAGTGTCTTTACGACAAAAACAAAAACTACTACAAAAATCTTCTCTTTGAATCCCAGTGTTAAATCATTTTTATTAAGTTGTTACATAAAAATATGCAAACAAAACCAAGCATAAACCTGGCCAGCGTGGTGAAACCCTGACGCTACTAAAAATACAAAAATTAGCTGGGCATCGTGGTAGATACGTGTAATCCCAACTACTAGGGAGGCTGAGGCAGGAGAATTACTTGAACCTGGAGGCAGAGGTTGCAGTGAGCTGAGATTGCACCATTGTACTCCAGCCTGAGCGACAGAGCCAGACCCTGTCTAAAAAAAAGCCAGGCATAGACACTGTCTTATATCTCTTACAAAGCATAATTATAACACAGTGTGCTATATTATGATAATTCTAATATTTTGTGGAGCTTCTGCACAGTATCATTGTTGGCCTTTTGCTATCTCTGTTCTTTTATCATTAACACTTCTTGAGGCCAAAATGATAGTATCTACAAACATAAGCACTGGGTTCATATGGCAGTACTTGGCTAAATTATTATTGGAAATCAAAACAGATAAAATTAAAAGATAATTTTCAAAAGGATCAAATTCAAGATTGTTATACAAATATAAAATTCTATCAAAATTTTATTTGACTCAATTATTCACAAAGAAACCAGTAAGATGTTATCAACTGGTTTAATAAAAAATTCAAATTAATGCACATATACGGTTGAGTCAAGAATGTTTAAATGAATCTACAAATAGATGAAAAACTGGCTTCCCATAGGTTGCAGTGGAGAGAAAAATCAGTTGTCCCTCCACCAAAAGGAATTTGCATGTCTTTGGATAAGTATTATTTTAATTGCTATCATATATGTATAATTTATAGCTTTGTAAAATAGCTCAATCAGCCCTCTATAGAATCAGGTAACTTGGAATTGTATATTAGATAATGCCTGCTTTTACAATGAAGATACCCAGTGTTCTTTTGGTTCATCTAAAAGTCTTTCATAATTTTTTCATTCACTATGTGTTAAGAGGAACAGACCCTATAGAACCTATCCATGGGTCCTATGGAAATTCTGAAGCCCTCTGTCTCTATTGCAGACAACTATGCCTCTTCAATTGAGCCATCTCCCTTAAGAACTGACCTTTTGCCACACAGAGAAGCTCCATATGAGTCCTGTTGTCTTTAAGAAATATGTGGCTCTTCTTTCAGATGTAAACACAAGCAACCTATTTTGATAAGTAAAATGACCTCTTCTGAGGGAATAACTATGACAACTAATCTCACATCTTCATATGTGAAAATTTTTGCCTAAGGACAGATAATTGCAATGATAAGCCAAGCCTTTAGTAAAAATGTAGAGTTTTTTTTTTTTTTTCTTTTTTGGGAGGCAGTAGAGTGGAGAGCAATTACCTATACCAGGTGTTATAGTAAGAACTTTGTCAACAACAAAAAAGAGTCAAACTTAGTATTTAAAGAGGCTTATTTTGAGCCAAATGTGAGTGGCTAAGGCCCAACACAGTCTCAAGATGTACTGAGAACGTGTGCCCAAGGTGATGGGATTACAACTTGATTTTTATGCATTTTAGTTGGACAGAAGTTACAGGTAGACATCAATCAATACATGTGAGTTATACATTGGTTCAATCCATAAAAGTGGGACAACTCGAAGCAGGGTCTTCTAGGTTATAGGTGGATTTGAAGATTTTCTCATTGGCAATTAGTTGAAAGAGTTATAGTAAGATATTGTGGAGACCAAGGTTTTATTATGTGGATGAAGCATCATAAGTGGCTGCCCTTAGAGGCAATACATGACAAATGTTTCCTATTCAGATCTTTAAAAGATGCTAGACTCTCAGCTAATCACTTCAGGATCAGAAAAAGACCTAGTGAGGGAAGGGAATTCTCTACAGAGTGTACACTTCCCTCACAAGAGACAGCCTTGCCGTGGCCATTTCACAATATGTCAAAGAAATATATTTCAGAGTAAAATAATTTCTTTCAGGGCCTACAGTCTGTCATGTGATGCTAGACTACAGTCAGGTTAGAATTCAGCATCTTATTGCCATAAAGAGTCTGTTTTGTCATTCTTAAGATCATTGTTGTAACAATTGTTTCTTTTGCTGTACAGAAGCTCTGGAGTGTAATTAGATCCCATTTGTCTATTTTGGCTTTTGTGGCCAATGCTTTTGGTGTTTTAGTCATGAAGTCCTTGCCTATGCCTATGTCCTGAATGGTTTTGCCTAGGTTTTCTTCTAGGGTTTTTATGGTGTTAAGTCTTATGTTTAAGTATTTAATCCATCTGGAGTTAATTTTAGTGTAAGGTGTCAGGAAGGGGTCCAGTTTCTGCCTTCTGCACATGGCTAGCCAGTTTTCCTAACACCATTTATTAAACAGGTGAACTGGCAACCAACAGAATGGGAAAAAATTTTCACCATCTACCCATCTGACAAAAGGCTAATATCCAGAATCTACAAAGAACTAAAACAGATTTACAAGAAAGAAACAAACAAACCCATTCAAAAGTGGGTGAAGGATATGAACAGACACTTTTCAAAAGAAAACATATATGAGGCCAACAAACATGAAAAAATGCTCATCATCACTGGTCATTAGAGAAATACAAACCAAAACCACATTGAGATACCATCTAATGCTAGTTAGAATGGTGATCATTAAAAAATTTGCACACAACAGATCCTGGAGAGGATGTGGAGAAATAGGAACGCTTTTACACTGTTTCTGGGAGTGTAAATTAGTTCAACCATTGTGGAAGACAGTGTGGCTATTCCTCAAGGACCTAGAAATAGAAATTCCATTTGACCCAGCAGTCCCATTACTGGGTATATACCCAAAGGATTATAAATTGTTCTATTATAAAGACACGTGCACATGTATGTTCATTGTGGCACTGTGTACAATAGCAAAGACCTGGAACCAACCCAAATGCCCATTGATGATAGACTGGACAAGGAAAATATGGCACATATACACCATGGAATACTATGCAGACATAAAAACCGATGAGTTTGTGTCCTTGTAGGGACATGGGTGAATCTTGAAACCATCATTCTCAGCAAACTGACACAAAAACAGAAAATCAAATACCGCATGTTCTCACTCATAGGCAGGTGTTGAACAATGGGAATACATGGACACAGGGAGGGGAGCATCACACACCGGGGTCTGTTGGGTGGGGACTAGGGGAGAGACAGCAGGGGGTGGGGAAGTTGGAAAGGGATAACATGGGAAGAAATGCCAGATATAGGTGACGGGGAGATGGAGGCCATAAACCACATTGCCATGTATGTACCTATGCAACAATCCTGCATGATCTGCACATGTACCCCAGAACCCAAAGTACAATTTAAAAAATCTTTGTTTTAATGTTAATGCCAGTCCGTTGTGTCTGAATTCCAAAGGGAAGAGAGTATAGTAAGACATGTTCAACCCCCACTTCCCGTCATGGCCTGAAGTAGTTTTTCAGGTTTACTTTGGAATCCTCTTTGCCAAGAGGAGGGATCCATTCAGTTAGTTGGAGGGCTTATAGAAGTTTATTTTTGGTTTACGTGCATATATATTATTTCATTAAATATCAAAATATGCTATAAATGTGTACATTTTATGGATGAGAAAATTCTGCTTGAACCACTCACATGATAAGTTTTGAAAAAAAGATTATTTGAATGAAAAACGGGACAAAACCAAGTGTGTAAGCATTTAATGAGGTCTTCTGTAACTAATAATCAGGATAGCATCTTTATTGGATTTTATGGAACAACTGGTTTGTGATCCCAAAATCAGATGCTCAGACAATATTTATGAAACATGCCTTAGTCATTCTTATTTCATCTGGAAAACTGAGTGTCCAGGTCACATATTTCATAATGCTATTCATACAGTTGTCATAGCACTTGACAAATGGCATTAAGTTATCTTGTATGTGTTTATTTCTCCTTTTTCTTCAATGGCAAAAGCTATGGAGTTAATTTTAGAGGAAGGGCCATATGTCCTTAGTACTTTGCATGAAATCTGCCACATCATAGGAGCTAAATATATGCCTTTGAATTAATCTAAACTATGTATATGCATTAAAGATAATCCCCACATTTGAACCTCTGGAAAAATTTTGCTCCCAAGTCACTAGTTCAAAGACTTTACTTCTGTTTTCAGAACATTTCAGTGCCATTAGTTACATTTTAGTGTCAATAGATGCATTAAGTTATAGCTGCTTAAAATTTGTTTTCAGGACAGAGAGATTATCATTGGATATAAGCCCTGCAGACTGAAGGTCATAGTATCTTTGGGACTTACTGGAGAAGAAAACCATGACCATGAAAAACCATTAGAAATCATCTGGAATTCTATACCACAATTAAGTATTCAATAGCTTGAGATTTGAGAAAGTCTTAAGTGCAAATATGTTTAAGATTCTTTGTATCTCATAAACTCAATATCATTTTTCCTTTAAAGGGCCATATTTATGAGAATGCAAATATAAAAGAACGACCAGGAAACACAGAGAACTGATACTCACATTGGCCACAAGAAAGAATAGAAACCAAAAATGTGAAAGTGAGATTGGGAGAGTAGAAATTGGAGAATTAGAAGGAAAAACGACACAAGCATGTCAGGAAAATGTTCCATTATGTTAACTCCTTTAATTACCAACCATTTGGCTGTAGAATAAAAAAATATGAGATTGAAAAATTTATATTTTGTTAAAATATGTACTCTTTTAAAAATATTAAATATGTGGAATGTTTACAAACAGGAACTGTAATTATTCATCAGCAGTAGAGGATTTCTTTTGAATT